TTGGAAATTAATCATGTGAAATTACACTTCTAAAATGCGGGAAAAAGCAGTGCCATATTTCTACCAAAACCAAAGTTAAATAATTCAACCTCAACTGACGTATCGTTGCAATTAAAGTGTGAGAGCTCCTCCATGTTTTGAGAATAATGATTCAGTAAGTGACCCCCCCCCCACAATGTGGCGGATTTCAGAGTCTGTCTATATTTATGAGATGAGGTATTATGTACATTATTTACATTATTTGGACTATTATCCTCATCTTTGTCGCCATATTCCGGGCTTCTTCAGGGGTCCCTTTGGGTCCTGTCACTGGATCTTACCAACGCCTTTATCCACTGTGCCATGTGTCCTTAAGGACACATGGCTCAAGGACACATGGCACAGTGGATAAAGGCGTTGGTTAGATCGAGTGACAGGACCCAAAGCGTGTGAGTTCAATACCCGGTTAAGGCAGTGGAGAACTTTCAGAGGGAAAATTAACTGGAGATAACTGATAGCTGACATCCATCAAACATGGCACATGGAACTAGAACAGTCTACCCCAGTGAGCGAAATAAAGGGTTCAGTTCGACATTCCAACCACCTGAAGAAGGCCGGAGTGTACAACGGCCGAAACGTTGTGATAAATATGGCGACAAAGATGAGGACAATAGTCCGAATAATGTAAATAATGTGGCGGATTTCTTTCGGTTAGAAACGAAGGAGTATTTCAGTGAGTAAGAGAATGTGACGAAGAATATCCTAGCGTATTAACTCGAAGTCGGTCTCGACAGGTTTGAATCCATAGCACATTTCCCCAAAGAATTCTTAAAAGCATCAACCTTTTTTCAATGCAAGATGTACTTAAAACAGAAACAGCAAGGACCACAATCCAGCACTCGGGAAAAATGAAAGAATTGTGCAATTTATGCGATAATTCCAGTTATCATTATTGTCCAAGTTTTAAATAAGCCCATACAGGTAAACGCCTGGTAGGAAATTCATTCTGAGAGAAAAGATATAAAATTTATACATTTTTATGGAACATGTCTATTAATTACTAAAGCGATTTTAGCGCTTCGGAAAGTCATATAGCTTTTAGGACTAATAATATTTGACTTGCTCCCATTGCCCGTTTTGTAATCTATTCTTTCGAAATCGTTGTTTTCATTTACATTTTTAGCCTTGTGAGTGTCAAATTCTACAATTCATCTTTCCTCATTATGCGTCCCCCAATATTTAACATTCATTCTGACCTTATTATAAAGTGTCCTTTTCATGTACTTTAAAACTTTTCGTAACTCACCATATCCGTCAATTGCATTCTTAGTATTATACTATAAAACAGCTTCTCTCTTAGCTCATGTTGCTTCTTCCTTTGTGCGGGACATTTTCATTAACCAGTTCCATAAATGTGTTGGCCTTTTCTTCTGTTATTAAAATGATTCCATTATTTTTAGACTTTATTTACATGTGGATTAGGCTATTATATTTGTATTGCCAACGAGTATATTGCGGATGGAATTATTATTTAAATTAGACCAAATGAGCCTATGGTTAGGGTGATGTAACGTAAGTTTTCTTTTTAGGCATGTTATAGTATATCCAATATAAATAATTATGGATCAAATTGAGCAAGAACTCAGATCTTCCTATCATATAATATTAAAGAAAGATTGTGTATGCATGTATTCTTTTTTGTCTCTTTCTCTCTCTCTCTACACACACACACACACACACACACACACACACATATATATATATATATATATATATATATATATATATATATATATAGAGAGAGAGAGAGAGAGAGAGAGAGAGAGAGATACGTATATATATTCTTTGTATGTTAATATCAATATTATTTTTTCTTTTTTCATTTCTAGAGTTTCCTTGAGCTGCCTATTATACAAATATGCCTATTATGTATAAAGTAATTATTATTACGAGAGGATCAAATTTCTTTTAAGTGCATGTTTTCGGGCCGTGGCGCGTGTTTATAAAAGAAAAGCTGGATTTCCTTGGTAGATTTTTTTTTCTAAATTTTTCAGCCTGGATAGTAGTTTCTATTCTTTATACCTGTTCGAGAATACCTTGTTATTTTATATGGGTAAACTCTTTTCAAGAGCAATGTTCAGTCAATATCTTAATGCAGATTGGTATTATCTCATTTGATTTATTGTCATAAATTCAACTCTTTAAGAATATTCTTCTCCTTACATACTTTCTATTTAAGTATGTAACACTCTACGCGTATGAGTGTGGCTTTTTCTTTATTCACTTTTTCATTCCTCGCAAAAGTGCATAAAACCTGGTGGATTTATTTGCAAAAAAAATACAATTTTTATATAGTGTAAAACTCTGCCCCAGTTCAAGGAAAATGGATAATGTTGAATTTATTTTAAAACCAATATATATATATATATTGATTGAATAAATGACGTGGCAAATATAGTATAAAAATTTAATAATCTATTTACATTATTCGCCATGTATATTCCATGGTTCAGTGGATAAAGGCGTTGGTTAGATTCAGTGACTAGACCCAGACAGTTGTGAGTTCAATAGCAGGCTTCAGCAACGGTAAACTAAAAAAGAAAAATAGAGATTTGAGTTGAAAGGAAATAACTGAGACATCCGGAAGAGGCATGGCACGTAGAACTAGAACAAACTACCCCGGTGGACGAAATAATGGGTTAGTCTCAAAATTCCAATCACCTTAAGAAGGTCGGGGCATAAGACGGCCTAAACGTTGTGAATATGGCAATGAAGATGAAGATAACAGTCCGAATAATGCTAATGTTATGTAATGGTTGGCATGTGAAAAATTTCAACTTGAATTTATATTAGGTTTCGTTAAAAATAAAATTAAAACTTAATTTAAGAAAATAAGAAAAAAAAGGATGTTTTATCAACACGATAAATTACTACCATGATGGATAATTGATCATCCAGTCGGTAAACAAGAGACGTTATTCTGTGAACAAATTTAAAGTCGATTATTCATTGAGAAAGGTCAACACGGGTCAGGGGCACGCCAGGATTTCACCGGTGAATTTGATCGACCAGTGATAGTTATAATTAGGCTAAGAATATGATCCTCTAAATAAATAAATAAAAAGAAAAACACTACGTAATTCTAGAAGCCTCTTATGCCGGAACCGGAAGTGTTCCACCAAACGAAAGGCGATATTTTGCTGGCGAGTTTGCGGATGCAGTTAAACTGAGGGGGGAAGATTGAAGCGAAACATGCGAACTGACCCGTGGGTCGGCCGGTTGCTGACGGAATGAAGATGTTACCCCTGTAGAGAGCAATTTAATATTCTGCCGACAGAACCGCCATCAGTTGTCTTTCTCTCTCTTGCCTGACAATTCACACGAGTGGAAAAGTAAACCAGGAAAAAATCAATGTTTTCAAGAAATTTGCGTCTGCGTGTGTTTTTTTTTTTTTTTTCATAAAACGCATCAAAGGAATTTCGAGCAATGAGTAGCATAGTTGCAAATAACCATAATACCGCATCTCAGACATATAGATATATGTTATTTAATAATCATATTAATATATTCAGCTAAACATAAGAGGTTCAACAGAATGAAAGCAAACCAAAAATTGAGATATTTTGCAATATGAACAAATGGATGTCATGCAATGCAATGAACCCTGAAATAAAATAATGTCAAGTAAACGAATGCTTTTAATGGATTTAAATTTCCAACAATATTGGCTCACTGCCACATAGTAACGTATTTACACCTCACCTGCATTATGTTATATATTGTAACATTATTCAGATTTGTTTGTCCTTGGTATAAGGATAAATTGCATCCAGCAGCCAGGCCTCTGATCGGGAGGTTTTGGGGAATGTGTAACGACCTCTTAATTGCTGTTTCAAGTTCCACACTTACCCGAGGTTTAGCACCTGTTAGATTCCAGCTAAGAGTAAATAGCATAGACTAACGTTGGGCGGCGGTTAAGTAACCCGGCTAAGATAGAGATTCTAAGGAGGGTATTGGAACCCTGATGGAGGAAATGCCAGCGATGCCTTTTTGTGCCTTAGTGGACATGCACTAAGCCGGATCCTCGGTTTCGGCATCCCGCTGAAAGTATCAGACAAGACCTCAGTCATCTGGAATCCTCTCTTTGCCACTGGAATCATTTTTCCGGGAGCTAAGTGCGACTGGGTGGGAGTGCGCAATCCTAGTACCACCTTAAAAAATTCTGAACGCGTGCTCTGCCTTTCTTCTCCTTTATCGCTTTGACTCAAGCGTCTTCAATGCCTGACGTGTCAAAGATAAGACTTTGACCTCTACCATTCCTGAACTGCAATATGCCGAGTATGATGTCATGGTTTCTACTAAGGCACTCTCACTAAAATGCCCCTGTCTTCATTGCATCAGCCTTATTCTCGCTTTGTTTTTGATATCAACCCAAATAAAACAGGTCATTCAAACAACGTTTAAATGATGTCACCCAGGAGCTCGGCTGCTTATTGACAACGTTTCTCTGTCTAATATTAACTCGTTCATCTACTTCAGCAGCGTCATATCCGATAACGGACAAATTAATGAAGACATTCTTCTGCGGACAAAACTCTCCTCCGCTTCCTTCGTACGTCTCAGCCTCCAGGTTTTCTCTAAGAGCAACCTCCGACTCCCCACCAAATCGCTGTCTATCGAGCTGTTGTTGTTTCAACACTGCTCTGCGGTTGTGAATGCTGGACACTGTATCACCGACAAAGAAAAACTGCTTGAGACATTCCATATCTGCTGCGTTCAGCGATTCATGCGCGTTACTTGGAGTGATAAAATCCCCCATACCGAGGTTCTTCAACGTGCGGGGTTGGTCAGCATCGAGGCCATAAACTGACATTGTCTTCTACGTTCAGTTGGACATATTGTGCGGATGTCGGGAAGTCGCCTCCCAAACATTGTATTCTTCGAAGATCTCGAAACCGCAGCCGTCCACGTGGAGGCCCAAATAAGCGATTTCGAGACTACTTTAAGCGTGCTATTGCCTCATGCAATATCGACCCAACACAATTGGAGAACCTCGCAAGGGATCGAATCGGCTGGAGGTCTCTCTGCGTCGCCGGAGTTGCGCACTTCGAGGAGGAGAGAGGATGAGCACACGAGGGGAGACGACGCCAGCGTCATCTTCAACCTGCTATTCCGCACCGGCCACGTTTCCTGTGTCACCTGTGCCCCAGAACTTGTCGTTCGCGGCTCGGGCTGCTAACTCATTTGGCAGCCCGCAAAAGACGAACGGAGATGGTAGGACAACATCGTTGTCAGCAATGACGGACAGCCTAAGAGAAGAGATCAGATTTTTAAGTAGCGATCATATAGAAGATTATAAGCAATTTCATTCAGCTGAATAAGGGACGAAGAAATAGGTTGTAAAAAAAATTGACAGTCGAATAGGTTTCAAGGTTAGAGTTCACGTAACAGTTATATTCATCAGTTTTATTTAGGTGAAACTGTGTAAACACACGTAATTCCTTAAATTACGTAATGAAAATCTCATATAATGAACAAAGTGGTAGAGAATATAAGAACCATCTTGTTTACTAGAAATATATATTAAAAATGGCAATCGATCAGTGACACTCCCAATGTTCGAAAAATAAACAGAGTATATTAAATGTAATTTTGTTTTGCAGAAATCTTGGTACCGCTTTTCGAAAAGCAATAAACACAGGTTGCATTTATCGAAGTTAAAAACAGCATAGATTTTAAACAAATTATAAAGGTAGGCAAAAACGATGAGCATTCGAAACAACAGAATGAGATAAGCAATAAAAGAATCCCAAAATCCTCGTCCGCTTATTTATTTCATTTATGTGTGTAAATTTAACAGCATCTGTCGGAAGCTTTAACATTAATAATTCAAAAACGAAGAGTTTGCGGGCATATGTTTATGCGAACATATGTTTACATGTATTTGTCCTTGTTTTGGTGTGAGAAAGCCGCGCCCAAATTTTGTAAAAATATTACAGACACACACACACAAACACATATATATATATATATATATATATATATATATATATATATATATATATATATATATATATATATATATGCGCGTGTGATATTTTTACAAAATGTATACAAATTGGAAAGATGTTTTTTTTTATGCGGCGTTGTTGCGATTAAATATATCAAATTTATTCTGATGTATTTATAAAGGACGAGACGCATCACAAAAAAGTGTAATTCACAGAAATGTTGGAGTTTTCTCTGATTTATCACATCAGAAAATATTAAAATTCAAACAGGGTCGCATTCATTACGATGTTTTATTTGGTTATATTTCGCATTTAGTTTCAAAACCTACTTGTGAGTAGTATTAGTATGAATTTCAGATTCTCTTAACGAATGTGCACTATTAATGATTTTGTAATATTATTTTATTTAGTAAAAATTATCCTGAACAAATTTTTATTGACCTGATTATAGGAATGATAGTGTATTTTTTTTTATTAATTACACTTCTCTTTTTTAAAAAAAAAATAAAGTTTATCTCAATTATATTACAAGTACACACATGTAAAAAGTATCACGAGCAATGGGAATTAATTAGTAACATAATTGGGTGCTGTGTACAATATTTGGTTAACAAAATCCAGAATCAATGGAAGTAATAAGCAACATAATAATGCAAAAAACCAATTTCAAGCTTTTTGTAATTTGCTCCGGAGTTAATATCATCATGTTATTTTTTCCAGAATTTGCTCCGTCGGCTGGCTTATAGACCACTGACAGTCTAGGTATAAATCTTTCATGTGTTTTCGTCTCTAATGTCACAAGACGATATAGCCACCTTTCTCAGAACAAACGCACTGATATGGAAAATTTAAAAAGTACCAAATCCAATATAACCTGCATCCTCAGTCAGATAATAATTTAATAAAAGACAAGTACTGATTTGTCTTATGAGTGACACTGAAAAAGAAACGTATTGCTTTCATAATCGTTCAGTACTTCATTTTGGTTGTACCATAGAGGATTTATAGATATACATATATATCTGTATTCCCCTTAGGTATGAGTTGCCTTATAATTCTATTAGTCGAATAATATGCACCTTAAACTTTGTTATTAATTGTATAAATGAAAATACTCTATTACAGGCTTCTATACAAATCTATTATTAATTATATGTTTTTTTTCTTTTCAATTAATTCACTCTAAACAAAGTAGTAGGGCTACTATGGTGAGGGTACTGTGAGAGAATATGAGAAGAAAAGGGAGCAATCAAAGAACTTGAATTGAGAAGACAGTATATAAGAATTGATCTTCCATTTAAATTTTGAAAATTAAAGTTGACTGGAAAAGAAGAAACCAGGACAGATTTTCACAAGCCAGAAGTGCAATATCAGAAAGTGTTAAGATAGACCTTAAGGATACATCTAGTCATCTGAAATGTTAAATGATGATACAATATCGCCAATCTACTGGTATATTCAAATTTATAAAATCTAGATATAGAGGTAAGATTTTTAGAAAATTTCCCATGCGAATATTTATAGAAAAGGTACACAGAAGTTACGTTACGGCGGTGAGAAATCAATACCAATATCATTGCAGATTCTTCTTTGGATTTTATCAAGAATCTCTAAATGCATAACTGAAGAACCAGTCCAGATATTCGCAGCAATATTGAATACATGAATGGATAGTAGACTTATAAATATGTATGATAGATATTGTCAAGAAAACATTTTCTAGCACTAAACAGTTAACCAACTTTCCTAGTAGCAGACTGATTCAGTATAACCTTTCCACTTCATGTTAGCGGAAAACATTAGCCTGAGTCACCTTCCTGGAAGAAAGTATCATCCATGCTTATGAAAAGCAAATATTTTCTATCAGACGATTAAAACTTTTGCTTTAGAGTCGGTAAAATTAAGAAGCCATTTCTTGCCTCAATTATCAATATGTTGAAGATCACTTTTTTAAAATAAAGTTCCTATAAATCCTGTTTCTACCTATAGCCGATTAATACCATCCGTCCTCAAAATAGACGGTGTGAATTATTGTGTTGAAAACTTCACTTATTGATATAAATTCAATTACATTTCTCAGACAAATAGATACAAACATGCATGTTACCACTCGCTTTCCTGATGTTTTTCTATTCCTGAATTTGTTATAAATGTAAATATATGTGGCTAATCTTAAGCGCATATCTACCGACTCATTTACCAGTTTTATTTCATTTTTAAAGACATTTTTTATCCAGATGCATTCATATTTATTATGAAACCTTACTATCATTAAACGTAATTTAGAATGCGCTTTTAAATATTTGCATATTTAATTTTAAATGAATATTAATCACTTGTAACCGGGAAGGAACGTACTTTTATCATCGCTCCATTATTGTCAGCATTTTATTCGCGGTATTATATTATTAAAACCTAATTAGATTCCTGAAATAGATATATAGCTTTATTTGGCTCGGTGCCATTCCGATTGAAATACTGTTTCTCGTTTTCTCACCGAAGTTAAGCAACATCGAGCCTGGTCAGTGTTTAGATGGGTAACCGATTGGGTAAAGCAAGTGCTGCAAGCTTGAATGTGCTGGTGTTCTAATGGATAATAAGTTGGAATTAAAGATTGGAGACTAGATTACAAATTCCAGTCAGCTTTGCTATATTCACTGACACGTAAATATCATAGCCAACGGTATGAATCCACATCTTCTCCCTCGGCTATAGGTTAAGTTGTAAGACTTGTATAAGTAAATTATTCTTATCTCAAAAAATTATTAAAATCAAAAATTATTGTCTAGCCGTAAATAAGCTACAAAAATGCTGATGAATCGACTGGAATTGAAATGAGCCGAAAAGTTTATAGGCTGCATATGAAGGAATGATGCTAGAAAAATAAAGTAGAATGGAAATTAATGAATGCAAAATTTCAAAGCACTCGCTTCACTTCTATATAATTATCCTATGAACCATTCAGTCCATCCTCGTAATGTATACCGTATGTGAAAACCTAATTAATTTTGTTCAGACAATTACTTATTAATAGCGAAGGATTCTAAATGGACGAATCAAGGAGAGTTATGAAACAATGCAAGTTCATATTAACAGATTCGACAAGCAAATAAATAAACCAATACATTATTTTTAATAAAAATATAGACATAATATAAATAATTATTTGATTTTCAGTCATCATGGGCATTATATTGTCACAATAAAATATTTAAATATAATTGTACAAGAAATATTACAATATAACAATCTGCTTAGATACAGAACAAATTATATCCGTGATTTCACATTAGAGAGACATTGTCATATAAATATTTTAACTAATTCGCACTTATTCACTTCTCTTACTTGAATTTAGCGTCTCTCTTTAGAAGCGTACTATTTTATTGCCTTTATGCATGCGTAAAAATTTGAATGCTTCGTATAATTAATAGAGAAATTTGAGCCTGAAGGAAATTTTAAGGGGTCTGAGTATGTGATCATTGGAATCCCAGAAACATTTGTATTAAATATTATTATATAATTTATTTATTTGTTTGCGTCAAATTTGTTCCCTGTATTCCAAAAAGGTTTAAACATAATAGAAAATCTTTGATTAAAATCTTATATCTTATACATTTCTGACACTATTCTAGGACAAAATCATTTCAAATCCGATTAACAAAGATTAATATTGATAAAGAGATTTCGATTATTCTAAATCATTTGATTTAATAATTGCACTAAAGATCATCGCAAAAAAACGTATTACTATAAAGAACGAATATTCATAGTCTAGCAGCATGGCCCGGCGTTGCCCGTGCTTGATTCAAAAATCGTACGACTCATACAGCAATCGCTATCACTTGACTGAAAATATTTTTGCCTTCCTTGCCTTTAAAGGAGTGCCCTTTGCCGTGCTGATGTTGCTACATGCCTTACTTCTTGTCTATCTCACACTGCGAATTTTTTTCTAAGCTCTATACTAAACATTAAATCTATTACGAAAAAAGAACTAAACAAAATGAACACAAAACGATCAAATTTAACAAAAGACTCGTAACAGGAAAAACCGAATGAAAAAAGAATGTTAACAACAAATACTTTTTCCCACCCAACCCAGTTCTGCGGAATCAGAATCAACGTTGATTTTAAGCAAGTGAATGAGCCAATTGGAGTAAAGTGCCATGCAGATTTAAATTTTTCCCACTTGTGACGAATGCAGTTATCGATTTTTTTTTGCATGCTAGCATGCTAGTTAACATTCGTGTCAGTCAGTTGTTCGTTCTCATGCTGGCCAATAGAATCTTCCTGCCTATTTGTGGCAGCCAGCTATAGGCTCTCACTCTGGCCAGTACAAAATGGCTGCAAACTACATGAAAACTGCCGTAGATGGCAGTTGGGAAATGCAAAGTAGGTGCTGGCCTTTTTGCTAACTTGGAGCATGTGCATGTAAATTTTGGTGCAAATCTGTCGAGAAATGCGGCCGTGCATTCGTTACACACACACACACACACACACACACACACACACACACACACAAACACACACACACACACACACATCCTGCATTTTATAGATAGATATTATCGTTCATTCATTCCAGTTTAAATTGAGATAGCTGAGAAATTGAAACTGGAATAAATTTTCGTTCTCTGAGTATGTGCCCATTGTAAGAAGATTGAATGTTTGTAAATATTTATGAAATTCAAAGGAAACACGTTTATATATTCATTAAATAAACGTACGTTTAAAATTTGCATTTATTTATTTCGACAAACCTATGAAAAACCTTGTGTAAAACGGTATGGTTATCACTAAGGTTTAAACATTTTTGTTTACTATCTTTTGAGAATGGAATTCATTAACATTTGAGAAAAATACAGGCAATTTTCCCTGTGACGAATGTGTTAATTTAATCGGAAATTTGTGAAATAAAAACTTCAAATCAGAATTACAAATGTTTTTACTTTTGAAGCATTTGAACATTGACAAATGGTGGAATTGGAGATTGTACCATTTTCTCGTAGATAAAGAAATTTTCTCGAAGATAAAGGAATTTTCTCGTAGACAAAGGAACTACAATTTGACTGACCAAATACATAAATAATGACTACTCATTCAATGATAATCGATTTACAGAATAAAGTTATTTCTTCATGTAAGATAATTTATGGCATTAAACCATGTAAAGAGATTTTACAAATGCATGAGTGTTCATTCTTCTTCTTCTTCTCCTCCTCCTTCATCTCCGCCTCCTCCTTCTTCTATGTGCCTTCAGAATGTTGGCGATCACGGTTCTGCACAATTGCACGTCCTTTGTAGCAATTAAATTTGTTTGTTTTTTTTTTGTTTTTTATTCACATCTCGCCTAAATGTTTTCTCATCCATTTACACAACCTCGTTAGGTAGGTCATGCATTGTTTGATATCTTGCTTTCAGAGACGTTCCAAATGCATCCTAATATGCAACAAAACAAATCTACTGTAGCTATAAATAGCTGCCATGCGTTTTACACTCAAGTACACCTTTGCATATCGTTAAAGATATTTGTTAAGATATATGCCTATGTAAACGATTACGTTCAAAAAATTTTAAACTGTTATTTTTTTCCGTTGTGTACGTCAAATTGTAAATTTGTGATTTCAGTGTTTTAAGACGGTTTAACAATTCTTCTTCTTTTTCATTTTCTTTTTCTTCTACTTTTTCGTCTTCTTTTTCGTCTTCTTTTTCTTCTTTTTTTCTTCTTTTTCTTCTACATTTTCTTCCTCTTTTTTCTTTTCCTCTTCTTTTTCTTCTTCTTTTTCTTCTAATTTTTCTTCTTCTTTTTCGTCTTCTTCTTCCTCTTTTTTCTTCTTCCTCCTCTTCTTTTTCTTCTTCTTCTTCTACATTTTCTTCTTCTTCTTCTACATTTTCTTCTTCTTCTTTTTCTTCTTATTTTTCGTCTTCTTCTTTTTTCTTCTTCTTCTTTTTCTTCTTCTTCTTTTCTTCTACATTTTCTTCTTCTTCTTCTTCTTCTTCTTTTTCTTCTTTTTTCTACATTTTCTTCTTCTTTTTCTTCTTTTTTTCTTCTTTCTTCTTCTTCTTCTTCTTTGTCTTCTTCTTCGTCTTCTTCTTTTTCTTCTGCATTTTCTTCTTCTTCTAATTTTTCTTCTTCTTTTTCGTCTTCTTCTTTTTTCTTCTTCTTCTTTTCTTCTACATTTTCTTTTTCTTCTTCCTCTTCTTCTTCTTTTTCTTCTTTTTTCTTCTTCTTCTTCTTTTTCTTCTTCTTCTTCTTTTTCTTCTTCTTCTTCTTCTTCTTCTTGTGTCGCGTCCGTCCAGGACGTTGGCGGTCTTGGCCATCGACAATTAACTGCCATTAGTAGTTCTTAATAAGTTTACTTTCATTTAAATAAATACTAAATCCTCTTCTGCCATTCCTGTACAAAATGTCTTCAGATCTGTTATATAGTTTTCCAATGTCCCTCATGTCTTAAATTTTGTAATTTTCCAAGCCCTCTTTCCTCATCATGTGAAATATTAAGTTCTCTCAGTGAATATAAATATGTTTATATATATAAAAGGTAGATATTGAGGTCATCGCCATCGGCGACTGTTACATACTTAAACGCAATCGCTAGGCTTGACGGTTGCTTTTAATGACGTCATTGATGTTTAGTTCATTAGTCAGTTTTATATTTACATACGCCCTAACCCTGATATTCAGTACACAAACACATAAATATAGCATATCTTATATATATATATATATATATATATATATATATATATATATGAATGAATATATATATATATATATATATGAATGAAATATATATATATATATGAATGAACATATATATATATATATATGAATGAATGTATATATATGTATATATGAATGAATATATATATAGAATTGAATATATATATATATATATATATATATATATATATATATATATATATATATATATATATAAAAGGAAGAAATTACATATGAACTGTTTCCAGGCGAGTAATAATACAGTGTCCGTACACTCTATGCGTGGGTAAAATAAATATCATACACACTTATATATTTGTGTGGGAGTACTTACAGATCTGCCTGATTTTGTCTAGAGCTTGTAAATTTTATTATGTACTTGCATGTACCTATATATAGAATCAGTTATATAATCTGGAAAAATAATGACATTAATCTTTTTCGGCGTCTCGTACTTTCTCCCCCTCTCTGTCTCTCTCTCTCTCTCTCTCTGTCTCTCTCTCTCTCTTTATCTCTCCATCTATCATCCTCTTCTCTCTCTACTTGCATCTTATTGTCCCTTACTTCTTTATTTCGGTTACATTTTCAGTTTTATTTATGCTCTGTATTTTTAACCGTCTGCACCTTGTAATTTGTTGTCGTATTTTACCGAATCTGATGCGTGTAATTCCCATCGCCCTTGGCTCTAATGTTGCTCGAGGTTTTTGTTGGGAAAGACGGGCAAATGGAAGCGGCTGAATAAGAAAGAGGTGTTGAAGAGAGACGTGGAGAGGTGAAAGTAACTCTCGGAAGACGAACGAACAAGTGGAAACACTATAATTACAATTAAAGACAATTTTCAAACACATATGATAAAGCGTTTATTTTATTTTCCCTGTAACTTACATCTTCCACAAAACATGTAATAGAAATTCTTACAGGAGCACGTTTTTCACAATATTTTATATCGTATTACTTGGCTATAATATTATCATTAAAAATCAATATTATCCAAAGTCATATTCTCAGCATATCTATGGTATTTAGAATTTAAAATTGAGTCCGTGAGATATTTTGATTTAATGTACAGCATCAATAATATATTTTCACTATGAGTTCATCAATATAAATAGTAAATGGTTGTTTTGCTTTGATTTATTCCAATGTTTTACTATATCTAATAAAAATGAATTTATTTTTATTTAGTCTGGAATTACTTCAATGTACTCTAGAGTGCGTATAGATCTGGTTAAAATGATTATTAATATTACCTATTTATAAGAACGAGAATTTATTGCTGTCTATATATATAACTTATTTACACATATATATATATATATATATATATATATATATATATATATATATATATATATTATCTACTTCCTAAAATCTGTAAAATACAATTTTTTTAGATTTTTACATCGAAGTATTTCTTGATCAGGCCTCGAATTTCAGCATCCATTTGAATAGAGGTCAACCAAAATTTGAAAGAGAAGGTAAAATTGAAAAACAGTAACAATACAGAGGTTCTGTGCAAATTTGTGATTGTTTTTATAACACATAATATAGACATTGAGAGAGAGAAGGGGGAGATCAGCGTGGATGCATATGTATGCAAACATATTTTTTTCAGTTTTTGGAGTTGATGCATTTCTTCCATGTTTTTGACTAATATAAGGATAGCATCGAGGTACCATAGGTAGATGGAGACTTTTTTTTAAAAATGTGAAATATATTATTTTAAAGATTAGACATATAAAAAATTATGTTGGACACACTACGAACACGTTGTCTCGGCGGTTAAGTTTTCATTTGATTGATGCGTCCAATATTTCTAAATATTTAGAAATTATTGACGAACTTGTTGAAAATACATCTATATTTTGCATGAAAATGATAAACATAAACTAAAACCTCTTGGAACTATCTATATTAAAAAAAATTAAACCAAACCTTAATAAAGTTATTTATGAATACTTCACAAATGCTTTAAAATGTTGACAGTAGATAGTTTAAAATATCGACGTTTATGCCAATGCTTCTTAATTCTCCTTTTATTTAAATTCTCGACAACCTCATAACATAGTTATCGACTTAAGCTAATCTCATTAAACTCAGCGTTCTTCCCTTCACTAATAAAAATATAAACTTTCACAGCAATTGTGTCTTTGAAAATGATGAACACTAGAATATTTGATTGAAAACAACAGTACCCTGATGATGACATTATGGGAAAGTTGAAATACTCGGAAAAAAAACAATATGTCTCAACACGGTAATTTTATTTGTTTCTTTAATAAATACACCAAAAAGCTTGTCCGTGAATGCGAAAGGATCCAATTGAAAATAAGTAGTCAAAACTTGTGTAAATTATTCAATGAAACATGTTTCAATATATATATATATATATATATATATATATATATATATATATATATATTATTTACTCGAAAATTATAACAAAAATATGTTATAAAATCACTACAAAAATAGCCATTTTGTTTCAACACTTTTGTTGTCTTATGAAGTGCTGGTGTTGAAAGGCATTCAACACCATCACTTGATAAATCACCAGAAGTGTTGAAACAAAATGGCTATTTTTGTAGTGATTTTATAACATATTTTTGTTATAATTTTCGAATAAATAATTGTATTTGCTCTACTCTCTATTGAGTACACTATTAAGATTAGTATTTGTTCGTTATTAGAATTTATTTGTATATACCAATCCTATACTTGTATATATATTTATATATATATATATATATATATATGTGTGTGTGTGTGTGTGTGTGTGTGTGTGTGTGTGATTATGCCGAATTTTTTATTAGCACATAGAAAACTGCTTGTTTACATGCATTATTCTCCATATATGTGTATCTGGATTGGCATGTTTAAATTTTATTTCATAATTCTCAGTCAATTTTAATGCATGAACCGACATTTCTGTCATCATTTCAAAAATGACAAAAATCTATTTACTTTTATAGAATCTTCACAGGATTGTTCCGACTCTTGTGGAGGTGGACGTATATAAAAATATTGATATACTGCAAAGAATATTGTCTCATGATGCTGAAATGAAAGAATGAAAATTAAATCACTGAGTGCATTTAACATATACTTTCATTAAAGGATGACGACCAAGCCGCATTTCTGATGACATCGCAAGTACTTTTCTTTTTCTGATGTAACTAAAAAAAATCTAAAAACATATACATCAAAATAGAACGTAAATAAATGGGGAGAGATTTATTCTTCCGGAATCATAAAGATTATATTTTAATATATTTGGCTTTTGAGTGAAAAATGAAGAAAATATGAGTCAAATGTGCGGAAGCTGATTATCACGCTTTTATTTTTCTTTGCGACATTTTCTGGGTAACTTTATAAGCGTTTCAGATTCCCTGCCCATTACCCTCCCTTTCGATACATAATGCTTCTCCCTTGTAAGTCTGTTTTTTTATTTTATTTTCTCTTTGTTTCGAATAGTCAATTTGCCCATTACATGCTCAACCCATGTAAGCATCTACTATACTGAATCAAATGGTGGTAGTGGATGGTCATGCATCCCCGAGAAATCCTCATAACCCGCTACTTCTTCAAATGGGATTCTAGTCCTCAAGTGCAAGAGCGAGCTTGTCTCAGTGACTTTAGGTCTCGGATTGGTACGATGATATTGACCGAGGAAGATTTCTGTTGCCTTGACTTTGGAACAGATGCAGCATATTCACTCGGAGCATCAATCATGTATCTTCTATCCTTGGTTCGTTGCATCTTCATTAAGGGTGTTGAAGGTAGACGTTTTTTAGGTGTTGGCTTTTTCCGCCAGGGATACTAACCTTCGAGTAGCTTCGAAGGATGCTATACTATCAGCCGGTGTATAATACCGGGGCTATTGAACTGTCATTTTGTGAATGTTCTCTTAATCGTGCAGTAGGCTCCGGTGGGGCCTCTCAATGCGATGACGAAGGGTAATTCTACGGCTTTATCTCTGGACGATTCTCTCCAAGGTAATTATACCTGCATTTCCTGCGAGTGTCTGTCTCACTGCACACTAGTCCCCAAACAACCAATACACACATGAAACCAATCAATATGCAAAACTCGTAAACCCAACCTAAAAAATCAAAATAGACCACACGTATACCATCCGCTATACTCCCAAAAGAAACTCCCAGCCAAACAGCCAAAACCGGTTCACTCCTGAATGCACTGTGGCCATAATCCACTGAAACGACTATATCAGTATCTATTGCAAGGAGCGATGTAGTTCAGCACACACTGCATTCAGCACATACTGCATTAATCACTGCTTACAATCGCTACAAAAATACTAGAAAACGGCAAGTGCAACTACGCCCGAGAATTCTAGCCCTAGGTAGATAAGATTCAAAATGGATCCCGTGAATTCTCGA